TGACAAATGGGTCCACCGGCTCCCCGCCCGACGCACAGCTGGGGCTTAAACGCGGCTTGGAAGAAACGCAACACATAGGCGCCCCAAACGGAATGGCTTTATTTACATTAGCTTGACGTAACGCCCAAAATGGCTGCCTGTCGCTAGGCAGAACGCGCCCGTGTAAAGATGGCGGGCCCAAAGTCAAGCGGCGAAGTCGCAGAGCGAGGATCGTCGCGCCTGCTGGGGAGAAGGGCGTGGCCCGTTTTGCTGACTTGACACGCCGCCGACTCATCTTCTGTAACCGAAATGTTTCACACGGTCACGATGGTTTGTAAGAACAATCATGACAACGGAATATCTAAAACACGTAGCAAGGTGGGTTTTTTTTTCATTTTGCATAAAATGACATTTTAGCACTTCGATTGTGTCTTTTCGTTGTGAATATCACAAAAAAGGTCATAATTGAGCATATTTTGATTGGAAGCACCTTAAAGATTGCTTGCAACATCAAAAGAGATGCCAAAATCTCCAACAAGACAATCCCTCACTAACCATCCTATATATGATGATATTAGGAAATATTACCATCCCAGTTACTCAATTTGTTGTAGTTATAGTATTTAGCGGTGTCGAAATGCTTCTAATATTGCAACAACATCAGAAAGGCAATATATTGGGAACCCCTCTCAGCAAACTACCACGACAATAAACATATCGCCAGCCTAATAGTGTGATTGTCCAAGTAAAAATAGTTTTTGGGGGTGGGGGTGGGTGACTTAGGCAAATATGCTTTTAGGCTAACAATAGCTTTCGGATAATATCTCTCAAGCTACATTGAAACTGAGCATTTATACAATTTTTAAAGGCAGGTTTTTGTTCAACAAAAGAATTATTCTAGTTCACTGACAAAACCCAACTTCATTTGTTGACCTTATTTAACATGAGAAAGCCCAAAACTATTAGAACATTCGTCAGGTCTGTCAGTCTGCAGGCAGCATCAATCACTTTATCTTGATCTTACAATGCACAGTGACATGTGTGTGAATACCAAGAGACTGTCGGGCAAAGCAGCTCCCAAAATGCAAAAAGCGCATCAATAACATGTAAACGTGCCTGCAGATGTAACCCAAAGCGTCATGCTGCTCGACATTCAGCCAATCAGAATGCAGAAACAACCTCATCACCCGACCCCTCCCTCTTCTCACATGCTGTATCATCTATCCATCCATCCACTTTCCGATACACTCATCCTCACAAGGGTCGCGGGGGGTGCTGGAACCTATCCCAACTGTCTTCGGACAGTAAGCGGGGGACACCCTGAACCGGTTGCCAGCCAATCGCAGGGCACACAGAGATGAACAACTATCTGCGCTCATACTCGTGCCTAGGGACAATTTAGAGTGTATAAGCCTCCCATGCATGTTTTTGGAATGTGGGAGGAAACTGGAGTACCTGGAGAAAGCTCACGCGGGCCCGGGGAGAACATGCAAACTCCACATAGGGAGGCCGGACCTGGAATTTAACCCGGTACCTCTGCACTGCGAGGTCGACACGTTAACCACTGGACCAGCGGGCCGTCATGCTGTATCATAACTTTCAATTAATCACCATCTAGACACATGAGATTAGATTTCATTACGTTGCAAGGCACTCGGGAAGAAATGTCTGAACCATAAAAAGTTTGCTGTACGGTGGTCAGAAGGTTAAATGAGGAATCCTTGTCATAACTTGGTATGAATGGAAACTGGGAAATTAATTCATAAACAGTCAACACCGCAGGGAAAATCGAACATACTTTTCCGCTTGTCACTCAACTGAATGCTTGAATATTTTCTCGGGCCACTGTAAGCGAACGCTTCAAAGATATGTTAAAATGGGACACTTTTGACCTAGCATCTTTTTGATGGAGGGCCATATAATGACACAGACGTCATCCACGTGTTTCATGGCGTTAAAAATGCTGACATGCGACAGGTACAAAGTTTGGCTGCCGGCAAGTGACCTCATTTGTCAAATGTGCAGCCAGTGCGGTCACTGCAATACCACACACACACACACACACCAACCC